AGAATCCAAAGCAGGCTCCAGGCTCTGAGCTGTCAGCACAGAGACCGATGTGGGGCTCGAATGCACGAACTGTGAGATCACGACCTGAGCCGAAGTCAGACACCCAACTGACTGAGCCACCCAGGTACCCCGCAATATTTTAAAAATGCAATATTTGATGCAAATTTGGGCTCTTTTACAGCTGTTAATCACGCTTTCATTATAAGGTAGGGTTTTAGAACTAGTGATTGCTCAGCTAAATCAGAAAATGCCTGTTTTCCTTCACAGAAGGGGATGTCTCTTGTCTCTCTTCCCCTCACTCACCCGGCTCCCTCTCTTTTTCTTTGATTTCTTGATCTTTGGCCTGGAGAGTCTTGCCTTTAACATTTTTCTCTTGCTTAGTTTGTGGAAGACAGCCCCTGAATATGGTGCTTCTCTCCAGGCCACACAGCAAGAACACTACCAGCCTGAGGTGGCTGTGTATAACAAGCATCATAGACACAGAAACTGGAAGTCCTTCCCAAATGTGGCTGTGTTGTAGAATCCTGTGGGAAGTGTTTAAAACTGATACCCAGGTTGCACCCCATTCCAACTGAAACAGAATGTCTGTGGACGGGAGCCAGGCAGTGGTAGTTGGTCAGAGAACTCCAGGTGATTCTAATCTGCAGCCAAGTCTGAGGACTACTGCAAGGAGGGGGACTGACCTTGACAATGTGAGCAGTTAACGCCTGAGCATAACCACGGCCAGCTTGTCTCGCATCTTTTAGGCAATGTGATGTACTGGAAACAACACTGGATGCAAAACCAGTCTCTACAACATACTATCTTGTGTCTTGGCAAGCTACTTAACCTACTGTGGGCTTCGTCTTTCTCATCTATAAAATAAGATCGTAACAATACCTTATAATATCATTTTAAAGAATGAAAGATGGTGTGTGGAAGTCTTGGTAAATTGTGAAGTGCTGTATAAATGCTTGTTGTTAATACTGGAGATTATTCTTTTACAGAAAAATACTCACTTCCTAGGTCCCTTGGTGAGATAGCTAGGGTGACTATGGTGGCATTAATTCCTTCATTAATGCAGTAATAATGAGAACTGTTTAGACACGAATTTATTAACTCCCATCTAAAAAAGGGGGTGGCAAGGAGAGGAGGTCTCCCCCAGCTTTAAAATGAATCCAGCAGCGGGAGCCCAAGAGAACCATTGTCCCACCATACCCAGAGATTGCTGTCTAGCTTCCGGTAAGATGACTCTCAGCAAAGGGGCCTTGTGCAGCAGAGAGGGACATCAGTGGTCCATCAGCTTCTGAAACTGACTTTCATCTTCAGGCTTTCTGTTTGATTGGATTTCATTTATGTCAAAGTGGATGAACCAAGGTAGAACTGTCCTCAGTATTGCTAATGGGCCTCAGAGGCAGGACAAAGGGACATGCTGTTGGCCAGGGACTGCTTGGTCATTTTTGTCAGTGTGACTGTGGTGTCGTGTATAGTAAACATCATCATGGCTCTTTTGGGTACACACCAAAGCATTTTTTCTTGGGCTTGTCCTCCCCAGGGATTTGAAGTTGGATGGAGGGAAACAGTCAACAGGTGCCGTGAGCTTGAAAGAGATCATTGGCCTTGAAGGCGTGGAGCTGGGAGCTGATGGGAAGGTAAGGCTTTCTGGCTTCCACCCAGCAGGTTTGTGCCGACACCCCCAGGGTTGGGAAGCAGAGGCAGCGTGACAGACCGGGACCCTTGCTCGTGGTGGAGGAGCCGAGTCTGGGGCCCCTTCCTGGTGGGTGATGCCAGCCCATCCCTGTTCCCCTAGCGTGCATGTGGAACCCTGCCTCCCCCCACCCCTGAGCCAGTGATGAAATAGCACATGTATTTCTCCTCCAGCACAGTTTATGATGGAATCCATGATACTGACCACTGTCTCAGACAAGCACACCTGTGCCTCTTCTGGAATGGAGTGACGGGTGGTTTGAACATGCATTAACTGATGCTGTCAGCCAGCAGCATTCTTGCTACTAGAAAGTTTGGGGGGGGGGGGGCTTCCTGTGGTCCTGAGAAGCTGAGTCTGTCAACCATAGTGAGCACCTAGCAGGAAGGCTGTCACATTCCTCCCTGTCCACGACCCAGTGAGTGAGCTGCTGGGTGGAAGCCTGAGGAGTGAAGGTTGAAAGATGAAGTTGACCTTTTGGTGCTCGATCCAGGTGGTCTTTGTAAGCGCTTCAAAAGCCTGTTTGTGGAGACAGTGCAAGTATTTGGGGAAGCTATCTCAGGGTAGCTGAAGCTGCTGGGGCAGCACATGACCTCCCACAGCCCCTCTCCCGGAACAACTGGTCCCCACTGTGCCCAGACGACATCAGCCTCGAGCCACAAGTAGGCATGCATGAGGTGCACTTTTCCAAGCAGGTGAAACAAAAAAGCACTTGTTCCATCTCCATTCCTGAAGTTTGAGTGCTCACCTGGGAATGAGAGAGGTGAGCTACAGACAAGCATCAGAGATCGCATCTGCCCAAAGAACATGCAGGAGGCCACAGCCCTTTTATCAGAGACTCTTGGAGCCTGATGTGTTTTGGAATTCCGTACTTGGTGGGTCATTAAAACTCGTGTGCTGTTCAGAAAAAAACAGCCATGTGTGGTATGTGCCTCCTGTATTACACAACATCCCAACAGCTTCTGGGATGGTTACCAAACACTAATATTTCTGTTATAGGACATGAGCATTCACCCAAAGTACAATAAATTTAAACTTTTACCTAGCCTTAAGTCAGTTGAGTTTAGGTTTTGGCACCAATACATGCCAAAAACAGACTTCAGGTCTCCTTGGGCAGAGCTAAGAATATGGATGTGAACTTGGTGTGATAACTTAGCTTGGTCAGGATGCAAACCTAACATTGTCTGGGAATAATCCATTTTGTCCATTTTTATCTTCACCTTTTAGACTGTTTCTTACACCCAGTTTCTGTTACCCACAAATGCCTTCGGAGCCCGGAGAAATACCATAGACTCCACCTCCTCCTTCTCCCAGTTCCGTAACCTGAGCCACCGCAGCCTCTCCATAGGACGCGCAAGCAGCACCCAGGGGAGCCTCGACACAGGTAACCTTGGGCCGGGCTGGCCCCAGGCAGCGCGTGGTGGAAGGTGCCTCGGTGCGCAGTGTGCGTGGGTCTCTCTGTGTGCAGACTGGAGGAAGCATGCCTCTGGAGCGTGAGCTCATCCCACGGGTGACATGACTTTTGGGCAAGCCCGATTTTAGGCCATGCGTGTGGCCATGCAGCCAGGCCATAGGGGGACCCCACCATTGAGATATTTCAGCCACTGACTCTCAAGCTCCCACAAGGAGAAATGCCATATGCTGTATCGTGCAGATATGGCTGGACCCACCCCGCTCCCTTCAGCCTCTCTCTACCACTCAGAGATAATCTACCAACTTATCTCAACCTGGTTCTTGCCTATATTTTCACAGTGTTCAGATTTGGCTTTTTCAATTAATGGGCCAGAAACACAGGATCAGGTGTGAGAACTTTGTGAGTCTCGTGGTGGGTGAACTAACATGGCCTATGAAGGAAGGCTTGCTTGCTTCCAGCTTGGCCTCCACACCTCCGTAAGAAGTGAACAAGGGAGAAAACTGTATGAGGCAGTATTATTTCCACTCTTGGTGAAACTCCAGGTGAGCCAGAAGTTCCTCAGGCCTGCCCAGGTGCTGAGCTTGGCCATACTGTCCTGGTGTATCCACCGACCCTGGCCACGTACGGCTGTTTGCACTGGCGCCTGCTCTTGTCTGTGTTTGTACAGACATGGTGGCCTGCCTGGAGGCGCTCACACCACAAATGTGTTGCTCACATGGCACCACTGGAGTTACCAATTTGATCTGCAGGTTTAGCAAATGCATTTTTTTAGTGTCACATTTTGTGATCTCCTTGTTTGCTGTATCTTTCACGCCCATTGAGGTTTTGTGCTCTCCCAGGTCAGGGAGATTCATACATAATTTTCTAAGGTGGAAAACCTGTCACAATGGAATGTTAAGTATTTGGTGAACCCTTTTGCAGGGGATACAGTTCATTGGCATGTAGAGACGTCTCCTGCGGGTCAGAGTGTGCGATGTGACTCTGGGCTAAATGGCCTGAGGCCAGCCTTGCATCGGTGTAACTTTGTACTGGGCGTTTGCACTCCCCCTGTACCCCGCCTCTGCTTCTGAGAGTCTGGGGCCCCTATTGATCATTTTGTGTGTGATCCTTAGGTAGTGACCTAGGAGACTTCACGGACTATGACCCAAATCTCCTGGATGACCCCCAGTGGCCTTGTGGCAAGCACAAGCGAGTTCTGATCTTTCCTTCATACATGGTGAGTAGCGGGGGAGAAACAGTCCGTTTTGCTCACCCCCTCTGCCTCTGAGGAGTAGCTTGGAGGTGGTATTCTCACCCTAACAGATGGCTGCTCTCTGGGGTAGGGGGGCTTGTTCAAACGCTGGTTGGCCAGGGAAGCTTCTTGAGGTCTCCCCAGTGTGAGCTGCTTACGGAAGGACCAGCACGGGCTGGTCACCTGGCCTGTGTACACCACTTTGGCCCCCAGCTCGGTGCTGGGGACCTCACCTCTGAGGGGACACAACTGAGCTTATACATTCGTAGGCCCCGCTAGGGGAGGACCGGGCCCATCAAGCTCAGCTTTGTCTGGAGATCCATGGTGACTGGAGGCCTCCATGTGCACTCCGAGCAAACGTTTGGCACTGGGCTCCCGATGACAGAATTATCTCCTGGGAGAGTGAAGGTAGGACGATGTGGGCGTTAAATGCAAAATCTTCCCCTGCCATTTTTACTTCATGGACTCTTCCTGTTTTTCCCTTTGTGTAATTTCGGTTTCTGCTTTTGGCTGACCACCATTTCCCACCACTTGGGCTGCCGTTTCTCCAGACACCGGTGGGGCCTGATGGGGTCGTGTGTCCTTTCTTGGGGCGGACTTGCCCCAGCTCAGCGGCCGGCAGATCCTGGGCAGCTGTGGGAGGAGGAGAGAGCTGAGCTTGTGGGAAACCTGCCACGCCAGGCCTGCCACACACATCGGGTGGGAGAGCACTGACCCGGAATGCCCCTGCTGCCTCCCTGATGGGCCCAGATGGGGCGGGCACAGTTCATAACACCCGGCTCTGGTTCCCTTGTTCCTCCACCACCCTTGTCGCTCTCCACGGCCTTAACTTTGGGAGCGAGCAGAGGGTCCTTCTTCTGTTTTGGGCTCATGTGTCTGTAAAAGCAAGGGCCGGGAGCCCATTTACTGAACGAGCCCCTGCACACGTGCTCTGAGCTGAGAGTTCTCAGCAGTGGCATTCCACGCTCCAGCCTCTCCTTCTCCCCTGAACATTTGGCAAGTGGCTGACATCAGAGGAACAGCAGGCAGAACTCGGGACCTTGCCAGTGGCTTTCCAGCATATATCCTATTCTAATACGCTGTGCTGAGTCTGAATGAATTACCAGAGGTACTTAGTTTAAAATTGCCTGTTTCTTACTCTCCCATCCTCTTCCCCCACCTCCTAAACACAGAAAGCAAGACCAGAGCCATGTGTAATTTTTATTCCACTCTATGACCTGTTAAGATTATATACTACTTGGGGCACCTGGATGTTCAGTTGGTTGAGCATCTGACTCTTGATTTCGGCTCAGATCACGATCTCACGGTTCATGGGATAGAGCCCCATGTTGGCTCTGTGCTTAGAGCGCAGAGCCTCCTTGGGATTCTCTCTTCTCTATTTCTGCTCCTCCCCCATGCTCACACTCTTTCTTTCTAAAAATAAACTTAAAAAAAAAAAAAAAGATGATTTACTTCTTTCACAAAGCCAGAGTTTATTCATGTAAGCTAGCCCACAAGTGTGTAATAAATTATCAGAATCACCGCCCTAATGTTAAGGAGGGAGCAACTGAAACGTCATGGCTTGTGTAAAACTAAGATTCTTTATGTTCACTGCTTTTTATTCACTAAGTGACGGGGCTGGAAACTGTGGTTCGGGGAGTTTGAGTGAGGCTGTCATAGTTGCCAGACAGGAAGTGGGGGCCGAGGCTAGAACTCCTGGCTTGGTCCTCTTCTCACTTGGCCCGTGACCCCCATGTCCCTCAGCAGTCAGTGGCAGAACTGCTGACCTTGGGGTAGGGCATGAAAATAGTTCTTTGGGCCAACAGGTTACCAGATTTCTAGGTAACCAAGAGAATAAGAGCGGGGGCACTATTTTTGATTGACCTTGGGGTTTGGTAGGAAGCTCTTCTCTAGATCATGTTCTGTCTGGTGATAACATTGACCTTTCCTTCTACAGGCCTGGTGTCAGGCTGGTACTACATCTTCTTTTCTTTAAATGATTTCACTGTGAGCTTTAAGGTTCTGGGCCACAGTCTACATTTGCGTGCCTGTGCACACAGATGATTTTTCGTCCTTGGACGGTGTGCCAGATGATTCGCCAAGTCAGCATATACGTCCTATCCTCCTTGTTTTATGTTCCCAACTGGCTCATTTTTCATTTCACCACGTTGAATCTACAGCCTGTGCTTCCTGTAACAGTACACGTTTTAGAGAACGAAATTGCTTGTGAGCCGCATTTCCTAGTCAGCTCCATAAGATGTACGTCTCCTACTCTGGCCACAGATATTGGTACTTTGATAAAACGTGGGGCATTTGCTTTCCAGCATAGTCCTCTGTCACTGATATGCATGTCATGTGTTACGAAGAGCCTCAGACTGGCTCCCAGGAAACTTCCTGTTTAGAAGCAGGCATGGAATAGAGCTGTCTCACATGCAGCGAACTTGCACGAGTAAGTGCGAGCGTTTTGTTTTTGATTCGTGTTGGTTTGCTTGAACTCATAGAATTTGTCCATTCAGCCAATACTGACTGAGGCCCTACTATGTGTCAGGCCAGGTGCTCCCTTACATAGTGTTTTCGTCAACCTTCTAGTGGGTGGGGAAGTCAGACAGTGAACAAGTAGACAAGTCACTGCAGTCAGGAGGAGGGTGAAGAAAAGTGGTTAGGAGATGATGGGGGCAGGGTTGGGGGGTGGAGGTTGGAGGCCGGCCTGCAGGAAGGCTCCCCTGAGGACATAGCATTGAAGGGGAGTGTGAGGGGTAAGAAGGAGCAGCCTTGCCAGGCCTTGGTGGGAGGGGCCCATGCACAAGACTGTCATGTGAAGGGGTGGAAGAGAGCGAGTGTATAAAATCAAGATTTTTAACAGTAAAAGTCACTGTCCTTCCCTCTATGCACATGCACATACATGTACACTCCGACACACGCACAGGTGGAGAAGGCAGGCCCATAGAATGATGATCCTGACAGACGTTCCATACCTACTCGACCCCGGGCACAGGGAACTGTGCTTGTAATAGGCTCTGGCTACCAGGGTAGACAGAGGTATAGGGTTACTTGACCCAGGCTGTTGAAAACCTTCTTTGAGGGTCTGAGGCACATCTTGGCCTGTAGGTGGGTGTGAGGCCCTCTGTGTAGACAAACCCAGCCTTGGAGCTTTCCTCTTGGGATGTGAACCCTCATCATTGGCAGGGCACCCCCGGCGGGTGGACGTCAGACCTGTACAAAGTCTGTGCACCCCGGCTCCTCTCTCCCCTCTGGGGCTTCCTGTAGTGGCCTTTGCTGGAAGATGCCCATCTCCCTTAATACTCCCAAGGCCTGTGGGGTCCTGCTGCCTATGCTTATCTCCCTGAGGTCCCCAGGGCAGCTCAGGTGAGGCCAGCCCAGCAGAGGCCTCAGGAGAGCCAGGGACTGTTGCAGTGTTTTGGAGTGTTCTGTTTCTGTGGAAATTCAGGGTCTGAGATGTTCGTGTGGCCTCTGCAGAGTCAGGCAGCCTTGAAAGTGATGAGCTAAACCTTTCACCCCATCACATCCAGTGGCAGCCATTAACTTTTTTTCTCTTTTCATGTGGAGGTGTAATTTACATGTGATCAAATGTACACATTTTAAATGTACAGTTCCATGATTTTTGTTACCTCTACTTTAATGGAGATAGAACATTTCTTTCCCCTTAGTTCCCTCCTCTCCATCCTGTTCTCCCTCCCACCTGTTCCTGGCAAGGCAGCTGCTTTTTTTTTTTTTTTTTTTTTTTTTTTTTTTTAACGTTTATTTACTTTTGAGAGACACAGAGAGGCAGAGCATGAGCAGAGGAGGGGGAGAGAGAGAGAGAGATACAGAAACCAAAGCAGGCTCTAGGCTCCGAGCTGTTGGTTAGCACAGAGCCTGACACGGGGCTCAAACTCACAAACTGCGAGACCATGACCTGAGCTGAAGTTGGAAGCTCAACTGACTGAGCCACCCAAGTGCCCCTAGGCAACTGCTCTTTTGACTTCTGTCACCATAAACTAGTTTGCCTACTCTGGCACTTTAAATAAGTGGAATCATATACTATGTGCTTTTTTTTTTTTTGGCCCATCTTCTTTCATACGATTTAATAGGTGAGATTCACTCATGTTGCAGGTGTCAGTAGTTTGTTTGTTTTTTTTTAATTGCTGAGTAGGATTCTATTGTATGGGTATACCATAGTTTCCAGTTTGGAGGCACTATGAATATTGCAGCTATGAGCATTCTTCTACAGGTCTTTGGTGGACATATATTTTCATTTCTCTTGGACAGATAAATACCTAAGAGTAGGCTTTCTGAGTCATTATGTAGGTGATGTTAACGAGCCGGGATGTAGTTGGACATATATTTTCATTCCTGTGTGTTCTAAGTGTGATATAAAAAGGCCGCTTGTGTTGCCACAGTTGGGACATGTCTTAAAGTGGAAGCGTTCCAGAGGCAAACAATTCCCTGAGGCCTAGAAAGAAGCCTGTTACATATAAAGTTTAAGTGGCACCTCTTTAAAACTGGCCTCACACATAGACTTAGGTTGGTTTTTAACCTTGATGTAAGCAGGTCACTTCCACTATTAGCCACTGTGAAAGGGCAAAGGGAAAATTTTGAAGTAAAGAAAAAAAGATTCCTGGGGCAGGTCTGGAAACCAAGTCTCAGCTACAAGTAGGGCCTGTGGTTTTGGCCCTAAAGTTTCTAGACGGTGACCACAGAATAGGAAAGTATGTTGAGCCTCCTGGCTGCATGTGGGTTCTCACAGGGCCTTAGCTTAATGATGGTGTTTCTCAGTGTGGTGAGGGCAGCCGTGAGGCCTCAAGTCAGAAGCGGGGGCTTCCTGCCTTATGTGCCGCCTGGCCTGTCATTAAAGTTTCACCAGAGAGTGGTTGTTTATCATTAGAACCTGGCAGCTGAAGTCAGTAGTGGTTTTGTTTTTTCTTCCCTTTATGGGTGTGGAGAGCAATTAAGAGGAGAAAGTAGGCAAAAGAGCTGACTGAGCTAGTGCCAACAGAGTTAAGGTT